TGCGCCCCTTTCCCTGTGGGCTCCTCCCTCCCATGGAGGTGGGACCTTCCCGTGCCCAGCTCCCAGTCACACCGGTGCTGACGGCGTTCAGCCCGTTCGGTTTGCTGCCCTAGCAGAACCCGCGCTTCGCTGTGTGCCACGTTTGTACGGGGCTATTTTGGGTGTTCGCACGCGTGTGTGCGGCGGGGCACCGTGGCTGGAGCGTGTCCGGGCAAAGCACTTGCCCTTGGTGGTGCTGGTGGTGCTGGTGGTGGTGGTTATGAGCTTCCAGGTTACTCAAACCGTGGTCTGAAGTCATAGCGTGGGTCGGGAACACGGGGTCAGGGATGCACAGCACGCGGCTAGTCAACGTGCAGCAATGTTCTGCTGACAAACTGTGCTATGAGGAGCAGCTCTTGAGCGCGGGTAACACCGCAGGGAAGACCCATATTTGTTTGTAGGAGACACACCCCTTGTGGAAGACACAACCCCATGGGCTTCTTAAAGGATTCTTTACATACTCACAGCATCCGTCACTTTTAGAGTTAAGGGTCATCAAAGCAATAAAATGAAAGCATTTTACACCTATTAAGTTGTGGGTATATATGCAGCATCGCTTGCTGTTACTTAACCTGTGTTTCGTTTACCCCAGAAAACTGTGGCTATCGAGTATGCAGTTGGATCTGCAATTGGTTTCTTGAAGCAACTGCTGTCTTCAGGACAGCAGTGGGAGGCAACTTATTTTCTAGTCCCAAGCACCACTTACCTCGCTAAACGTTCCAGTAAAAATAAAACGGCACATGCAAGAGACATCATTTAAATGTCGTCCATCTCTAGGCATTCAGTAATCATTGATAGAACACTGAAGGATCGTAAGAATTCAAAGGAAACGATTTTAAAATGTTGTGTTTTGTAAGTGTTTGTGACCTGAAAGTTTGCTTCCGGTTCAGAAGTCCCCTTAGAGCACATACTCTCCTCTCTTGTCGCTTGTGTCTTTCCGATTCCAAGCATGGCCCTTATTTCTGAGGAGCAGAGGTACTGGTGGCACCTTGGTGAAGCTCTGTTCTACCCGTGCCTAACCCAGTCAAACCACAGAGGAGAAACGGGTGCCCCTGCTCCAGAGCGTTAGCCTTCCGCGAGGCCGTGGAGAAAGCAGGTTCAGAGAAAGGAAGTCCTGGAAGGAGGTTTCGACAGAGCTTAAAGTGAGTGGTGTGGCAGTGTCCCACGGCACCCCTTGCCTTGCTGGCAAGGCTGAGCGAGGGGTGTCCCAATGGAGTGATAAGGAAACAAATCTGATCATTTTGTTGTACTGTCTGCCAGAGAAAATGGCAAATGTAACATTTTTAGGTGTCGTGATGAGGCTGACTGCCCGCCTTCCTGCTGCCTGTTCGAGGAGATTTCCATGTACCCTCACCCAACTCTGAGGATAAAGCAGGGCCCATCCATTCTTTTCCCTTCACTCCCTTTTGTGTTACCGCCCTCTGCTCTCGTGGTCTCAGGCTCCTCCTCCCTGAGGCCCTCGGGACGGTGCCCGGTCCCCTTTGGGCCAGCGTTCCGCCCTTGGCGCTGCCCTCCGTGCCCGTGCGCCCGGGCACGGCGCCGGCGTTCGCCGCGCGCCTCCCGTCGGGCTCCGCAGGGCAGCGAATGGGAGTTGGGGAAGCACTCATGGTGACTGCTCTCCTACATTTCTTTCATGTCAGTTACTGTTTTCCTTTGTGGGAAAAGCAAAGTTTAAAAACTCAAACACAAAAAGTAAGGGCTGGCTTCCACGTCTGTGTGTTTTCTGAATGATTCTGGCTCTGCTGTGCTCTGTGCTTCTTCCTCGTAAAAGGGAGTGACACATCAAGAATGATGGGTCTTCGTGATGTTGTTATTCAGAAGTGAGGCCATCCTGTGAGCAGGATTTTTGATAGAACGTGTGGACAAGGATGAACGTTAACAAAATCCATTTGGCAGTAATGGGGATTTTACAGGAGTTTGCTCCCTGTCTCTGCTCTTCCTGCCCTCTACCTTCATCTCCATTTAAAAAACAAACAAAAACCCCAGAAACTACTGGTCAAGCTCCTGCCTGCGAATGCAGTTGTTGGGTTTCTAATGCAAGGGCAGCTGCTGGGACTTTCATGTACTCTGCTGTTGAGAGCAGGCCTAGGAACAACACAGTTAAAACCTTTGCACAGGTGACAGCAGTGGGGAAGTTTGGGGGAAAAATGCGGTGTAGATGGTGGCTCTGTGCACAGTTCTGGCATGAGCTGGCCATTCCTTTACTCCCTAGAGAAATGCTGTAGGAGCTGATAGCAAAAATGTTTAAATACAGCTGAGTGAGGATGCTGCGAGTCTCTGCTTTTCCCTTCTTTTACAGCTCTAAGCCTGTTGTGTGCTTGATCTCTCTTATGATGCATGTGTATCTTTTTATATAAAGATTCTGCACAAAATAAATCATGATTTATTTTATATCCTAGCACTTTAACAGCATATAGTATGCTCTAGGCTTTGATATGTAGTGTATCATCAAATCACATTTAAGGCATAGCTGCAGCTTTGCATAGTCACTGTGCAACAGTGTCAGGGCTGCTTCTGACGATGCTTTCAACAGACCTTTTTGTGTACCTGAATCCGTGTTAATGAGTATCACTGCACGTGCAGGAGAAAATGTTAAGCATCAGTGTTCCAGCTGCTCAAGCATACACATTCATCCACCTAACTTATTTACATTAGAATTTATCATTCTAAATGTGTTTGTGTAAATTCAGCATTTGGATTCAAGATGAAATTTTTGTGTTGATTTTTTTTCTCCAGTCTTGCTGTATACATTGCTATTCACATCTTTTTTTTTTTTTTTTTCCCAACAGACTTTGCATTTAGGATAGTGAGTGCTCCAATGGCCTTGGATTTAGCTTTTGGCATCATGTGTGAGCTGCTCCAGCTGTGGGGGGAAATCCGTGCTGGGATACCCATCCTGCTGGAATGGCTGCTGGGAGACAGTGATGTGGAAAGAGATGCGGAGACTTCAGCTCTGGTAATTTAAACAACCAGTTGTTTTCTCACGTAGGAATTGCTATTATTTCTGCACTCTTGTGTTTGGAAGAGAATGAAATATCTAATCTGGTTAAGCTGTTCCAGATGATCATTACTCTAGCATAAACAGTATTTCAATTTAAAATAAAAATTCACATGGACAGTAGTATATTGAGAATAAGCAAATAGTCTGATCTGTTTGCTGGCAGTGTCAGCATTAAAGTTTGAAGAAAAAAAAAGAAACAAAAACCAATAATGAAATAAGAGCTATTTAACAAATCATTGTTGCTTGAAGCATTTCAATGTCTTAACTATTTGCCTTCAATGTTCTTGCAGATGTTTGCTTGCCTTGAACTGAAACTGTCCTGAATGCCAGGCACATCTGACACTTCAGGACAGTGTTATCCCAACTGCTTGCTTTTCCAGAAACTTCATTTAAGTATTTGGTAGCCTTGTTCAGTTTTCTATACAGCTACTACTTGTATGGCACATGAGACAGCCTTGCTTTTGTAAGTCTCTTCAGGAGGACTAGTTACACAGAGAACACTTTACCATGGGGTGCCTGTGAACCTGGTACTGCATAGAGCACTGGGCTAGCTAGGCCTCGAAAAGACTGAAAAGAAATATTATATATAATGCTAGAAAATAAATTGGAAATTGCAGGAACAGCTGTATCTTTGAGAAGTTTGTTAACAATCGATATGACCGGGTAATATATTGTGAAGCGTTTCTTAAGCCTGTGGTTTAGGTGTGCCCTTTTGATGTGTCACTGGCTGAGTGATTTTCCTGTTTCATTTAATCCACTCAGAGCTCCATGATATAGCAAATTATCATCATGGTTACAGAGATCTCTGTGTAATATAAGACAATTTCACAGTGAAAGGCAAGCACATGTTAAAGATTAGCCCCACTAGTTGCTTCCCCTGCTTGCTAAGAGTTACAGCTTAAATGCATGATTTTTGAAGGTAAATTTCACTGGCAAAACAGGAAACTTCATATCGTGTTTTTTTCCAAAACCATTGAAAAATGATGCATATGAATTTTTAGTTTTTCACTAAAAGGTATGTTCCCATAACATTTCCTATTCTGATTATTTCTTCAAAACCTGCTATAACGTGTTCCTTGCAGCTCTCTCATTATCATCCAGACCACAAGCCATTTTCTAACCCCTGGTGTTCTCCTCTTGGTTAAGGATGAAGACGATTGCCTGTTTGAGAAAGGGGAAGCGAACTTCTGGGCAGAGCAGCTGACTCCCGCCAGGCTGCTGAGCAAACACCTTTCCCGGCTGCTGGTGTCGGTGACTCCCGCACCGGGGGCAGGGGCAGGAGCCCTCGGGCAGCTCTCGGGAGCCGCGCGGGAGCAGGGCCGGCTCCTCGCGCACCGGCTGCGGGCGCTGCCTCCGGCCCCGGAATTCTCCAAAACGGCAGAATTCACGAGGTTGGCTATTCAAAATGAGAGAATATCCACCTGCCTCAAAATACTGAGTTTGCTTCAGCCTGATGATCTGTGCAAGAGCAAAAATCCGGAAAAGTGAGAGTTGCTAAAAGCTCCTGCGCAGGGAGCTGCACAGGACAGGGGATGCACCACAAGGATGAAGGATCGCTCCGATGGCTCCACCAAACCTGCAACAAACCCCTCAGTAAACTCCTGCAAAAAACACATGCCCATATACAAGGCCACTGGGGTTTTTTTGATCAGATGTGGTATGGGAGACGGCTCCTTTTCAATGCATTTGCTGATTTCATTCAGATGAGCGTGGCTCACTGCAGCTACTGCAGGAAGCGAAGCAGCTAAAATTAATATTTCCCATCCATCTAGGTGCAGGCCACCTGTAGTTCTGTTACACTTCTTCCCGTATTTTTACCTCCTATATTTTAATACTCTGATATGCTTAATTTTGTTGTCTCCTTGCAATACATGGAAAAATAATTAAGTGAACAGAGTAAGACTATAAATTTTTATTTCTGCTACTAAAAGCAAAGAAAAAAATCCTGGCTTCCTTCTTTACCCTTTACAAATTTTATTCTGCCTCGCATTCTTCTCCAGAGGAAGGCAAGGATCCTCACTTCTGTAGAACCTTGTTTTGCAGATGGAAACAGCATTATTTACCTGTATATGCTTTTTTCTTCTTCTTGTTCCATAAATCAAGTAACTATTTCAATGCAATAGCTCTCAAATGAAGAAAAAAGCAGTTCCATTTAGAACAAAACAGCTGCATCCTTACTTGCAAAGCCTTTTGCTCTCCATGCATTTCCTAGACGGCAGAGAGGCAACAGAATTAGGCCCCTGGACACGTGCAAGTGTTCCAGTGCTGCTGCTCTCCCTGGTTTGAGATCCTGTGCGCACACCGTGTAGAAGGCTCTCGGGTAAAAGCTGCGTCCACTTCCTTTAGCACCCGAGAATTCCGCTGTCTGAATGCAAAAAGGAGAAGTGCAAAGGTTTGTGTTTTGTATTTTTTTTCTGAGAAGTGGAACGTGGTTACAATATGGAAATGTGAGATCCACAATAAATATTTATTTTACAAGAATGTATTATGTTCTTTTAGTCAAGGGCTGTGATTTGGTTCTATCATAGCTTGTCATAGCCAAAACAAAAGCCGTGAGTTACTATGTGTTGTTACTCGAGTCTCCTTGGAAAAGAAACAGAGCTATGTCCAATAAATGGTTGTTTAATTTCGGTTTTATCGTGCATTACTCTATTAATGCGGCTTAACGGTGACTCAGTGACGCTCTTGTCCCAGTCGCTGTCCCGGGGACGCTGCCGTTTCCTCTGCCCCGCTCGCGTTTCGCGGGTTGTGCTGCCCGTGGCCATGAGGTGGCAGCACAACCCAGCGCACGGCCCGAGCGCGCCTTTCCGGCTCCATGCGGAGCCCCATTCCCGTGGGGACCTACAGCCCTGTCCCAGTCATCCTACCTGGCGTTCTGGAGCCTGGAAGTGTCTGCTTCCGTGTTAATTCGTGAGTTGAGATGAGTTACTGCAGTAAACCAGCTTGGGCTTCTGAATTAGCCTTAGTGAATATTGGAAAACTGCGAGGCACAAGTACACAAGTTATGAACAACAGCTTTCTATACATTGCAAAGGTTCAAAATTACTCGTGTAAATATTTTACAATAAACATGTGACTTCAGTAGGTGAAAAAAAATAGAACCTGAAAGGAGAAGTTATTTCATTGAAGTCGGGGGGGTTGGACTAGATGATCTCTAGTGGTCCCTTCCAACCTCAACCACTCTGATGCTGCGATTTCATGCAATTCAATAAGCCATGCTGTGATTTAGTCTAAAAAATACTTTGTCTAGATCTTTTTTTGGGGGGAAAAACAGGGCAGTTGTGTCCAAGAGCCACCTTTAGGAGCAGTCAGGAACTGTGCCATTCGCGGCTGCCGGTTTACCACACCTTGCCAAGAGTTTTGCAAGGTGTGTAACAGCAATGACGGCGTTGCTCTACAACACAAGCAGAACTCACCAGAGTATCAAAATGACGGCCCAGCTGTGCGGCTTCGACCGTTAACATAAGGCTGTCCAATCTAATTTCTTATCACATAGAATTTAAAATGTATATATCAGGTATATCAGGTATATATCAATATATCAAATTGTGGGTGTAGAGGAGCATTGTAGTAGATCCAGGCTGATCATAAAACTTGAGTAACTCCGCGAGAGCCTTGGAGACCTGGTTAATTGGTAAACCAGGTAACTGAACACTCAGTCTTGCTTATCATGTTTTTAGCATGCAGCTGAGACATGTGTAATCCCTCCTCAGTTTATAGATAAAAATATATGTATGAGTGCACATCCATGTCACCCCTCACTGCTGGTGACTGGAGTTACTCTGTAACTACTCAGTCAGGAACCTTTAAACCTTGAATTGTGTAAGGAGGTGGCACCGCGGTGCTTCTCTGCCGTGTGTCCCATCACAGCGGGTTTATGGAGTGTTTGTGGCAGGACGGCCACGCGCTGCGCCCCGCACGGTGACTCGCTGGAGGTGCCGCTCTCATGTCCCGCGGGGACACCTGGCAGCAGGAAAAGTTCGACCTGGGAGCAGGGTGCAGGGCAAGCGCAGCGGACAGAGGAGGTTATGGAAAGAAATAAACAAACCCAAGGAGAGCAGGCGCACACACGCGATTCACAGCACGGAC